TTTTCTGAGTATAGATCCTTTGTCTCTTTGGTTAGATTTATTCCTAGGTATCTTATGGTTTTGGGTGCAATTGTAAATGGGATGGACTCCTTAATTTCTCTTTCTTCTGTCTTGTTGTTGGTGTATAGGAAAGCCACTGACTTCTGTGCATTAATTTTATATCCTGCCACTTTACTGAATTCCTGTATGAGTTCTAGCAGTTTTGGGGTGGAGTCTTTTGGGTTTTCCACATAAAGTATCATATCATCTGCAAAGAGTGAGAGTTTGACTTCTTCTTTGCCAATTTGGATGCCTTTGATTTCTTTTTGTTGTCTGATTGCTGTGGCTAGGACTTCCAATACTATGTTGAATAGCAGTGGTGATAGTGGACATCCCTGCCGCGTTCCTGACCTTAGGGAGAAAGCTCTCAGTTTTTCCCCATTGAGAATATTTGCTGTGGGTTTTTCATAGATGGCTTTTATGATATTGAGGTATGTACCCTCTATCCCTATACTCTGAAGAGTTTTGATCAAGAAAGGATGCTGTACTTTGTCAAAAGCTTTTTCTGCATCTATTGAGAGGATCATATGATTCTTGTTCTTTCTTTTGTTAATGTATTGTATCACATTGATTGATTTGCAGATGTTGAACCAACCTTGCAGCCCAGGGATAAATCCCACTTGGTCATGGTGAATAATCCTTTTAATATACTGTTGGATCCTATTGGCTAGTATTTTGGTGAGAATTTTTGCATCCATGTTCATCAGGGATATTGGTCTGTAATTCTCCTTTTTGTTGGGGTCTTTGTCTGGTTTTGGGATCAAGGTAATGCTGGCCTCATAAAATGAGTTTGGAAGTTTTCCTTCCGTTTCTATTTTTTGGAACAGTTTCAGAAGAATAGGTATTAATTCTTCTTGAAATGTTTGGTAGAATTCCCCTGGGAAGCCATCTGGCCCTGGGCTTTTGTTTTTTGGGAGATTTTTGATGACTGCTTCAATTTCCTTAGTGGTTATAGGTCTGTTCAGGTTTTCTATTTCATCCTGGTTCAGTTTTGGTAGTTGATACATCTCTAGGAATGCATCCATCTCTTCCAGGTTATCTGATTTGCTGGCATAGAGTTGCTCATAATATGTTCTTATAATTGTTTGTATTTCTTCGGCGTTGGTTGTGATCTCTCCTCTTTCATTCATGATTTTGTTGATTTGGGTCATTTCTCTTCTCTTTTTGATAAGTCTGGCCAGGGGTTTATCAATCTTGTTAATTCTTTCAAAGAACCAGCTCCTAGTTTCGTTGATCTGTTCTACTGTTCTTTTAGTTTCTATTTCATTGATTTCTGCTCTGATCTTTATGATTTCTCTTCTCCTGCTGGGTTTAGGCTTTATTTGCTGTTCTTTCTCCAGCTCCTTTAGGTGTAGGGTTAGGTTGTGTACTTGAGACCTTTCTTGTTTCTTGAGAAAGGCTTGTATTGCTATATACTTTCCTCTTAGGACTGCCTTTGCTGCATCCCAAAGATTTTGAACAGTTGTGTTTTCATTTTCATTGGTTTCCATGTATTTTTTTAATTCTTCTTTAATTTCCTGGTTGACCCATTCATTCTTCAGTAGGATGCTCCTTAGCCTCCATGTATTTGAGTTCTTTCCAACTTTCCTCTTGTGATTGAGTTCTAGTTTCAAAGCATTGTGGTCTGAAAATAGGCAGGGAATGATCCCAATCTTTTGGTACTGGTTGAGACCTGATTTATGACCTAGGATGTGATCTATTCTGGAGAATGTTCCATGGGCACTAGAGAAGAATGTGTATTCCGTTGCTTTGGGGTGGAATGTTCTGAATATGTCTGTGAAGTCCATTTGGTCCAGTGTGTCATTTAAAGTCTTTATTTCCTTGTTGATCTTTTGCTTAGACGATCTGTCCATTTCAGTGAGGGGGATGTTAAAGTCCCCCACTATTATTGTATTGTTGTCGATGTGTTTCTTTGCTTTTGTTATTAATTGCCTTATATAATTGGCTACTCCCATGTTAGGGGCATAGATATTTACAACTGTTAGATCTTCTTGTTGGATAGATCCTTTAAGTATGATATAGTGTCCTTCCTCATCTCTTATTACAGTCTTTGGTTTAAAATCTACTTTGTCTGATATAAGGATTGCCACCCCAGCTTTCTTTTGGTGTCCATTAGCATGGTAAATGGTTTTCCACCCCCTCACTTTCAATCTGGGGGTGTCTTTGGTTCTAAAATGAGTCTCTTGCAGACAGCATATTGATGGGTCTTGTTTTTTAATCCAGTCTGTTAGCCTGTGTCTTTTGATTGGGGCATTTAGCCCATTTACATTCAGGGTAACTATTGAAAGATAGGAATTTAGTGCCATTGTATTGCCTGTAAGGTGACTGTTACCGTATATTGTCTGTGTTCCTTTCTGGTCTATGTTGCTTTTAGGCTCTCTCTTTGCTTAGAGGACCCCTTTCAAGATTTCCTGTAGGGCTGGTTTTGTGTTTGCAAATTCCTTTAGTTTTTGTTTGTCCTGGAAGCTTTTTATCTCTCCTTCAATTTTCAATGACAGCCTAGCTGGATAGAGTATTCTTGGCTGCATATTTTTCTCCTTTAGTGCTCTGAATATATCCTGCCAGTCCTTTCTGGCCTGCCAGGTCTCTGTGGATAGGTCTGTTGCCAATCTAATGTTTCTACCATTGTAGGTTACATATCTCTTCTCCCGAGCTGCTTTCAGGATTTTCTCTTTGTCTATGAGACTCGTAAGTTTTACTATTAGATGTCGGGGAGTTGACCTATTTTTATTGATTTTGAGAGGGGTTCTCTGTGCTTCCTGGATTTTCATGCCTGTTTCTTTCCCCAAATTAGGGAAGTTCTCTGCTATAATTTGCTCCATTATACCTTCTGGCCCTCTCTCTCTTTCTTCTTCTTCTGGGATCCCAATTATTCTAATGTTGTTTCGTCTTATGGTATCGCTTATCTCTCGAATTCTGCCCTCGTGATCCAGTAGTTGTTTATCTCTCTTTTTCTCAGCTTCTTTATTTTCCATCATTTCATCTTCTATATTACTGATTCTCTCTTCTGCCTCATTTATTCTAGCAGTTAGCGCCCCCATTTTTGATTGCACCTCATTAATAGCCTTTTTGATTTCTACTTGGTTGGATTTTAGCTCTTTTACTTCTCCAGAAAGGGTTTCTCTAATAACGTCCATATTTTTTTCAAGCCCAGCTAGTATCTTTAAAGTGATGATTCTGAACTCTAGATCTGACATCATACTAATGTCCGTATTGAGTAGGTCCCTGGCAGTTGGTACTACCTCTTGTTCTTTTTGTTGAGGTGATTTTTTCCGTCTCGTCATTTTGTGCAGAGGAAAATAGATTAATGAGAGAACAAAATGCTAGCAGAGTAACCACATCCCCAGAAAATATACTCTAAACAAATCAGAAAAGACCTGAAGCAGTGGGATAAGAAAGGGAAAGAGAGAAAAAAGAAAAAGAAAAAAAAAAAAGATAAAAACAAAAACAAACAAAACAGAACAACAACAAAAGGAAAACCAGAATGTGATCAAATATGATCTATATGGTATATAGATCAGTGCCACACACTAGATTTGGGGTGTATTTTGGTCTTTTAGGAGAAAGTGCCTCCCAAAATTTTAAAGAAAGAAAAACTTATATATGTACAAAAATAAGGGTTGATATGATGAGGGGATGGAATATGACTGTAAAAATGGAAATTATAAAAAATGTTATAAAAGGAATTGATAAGAAGTTGTTTGAAAAAAGAAAGAAGAGGATTTAAAAAAAGAAAAGAGAAGAAGAGACAAAAAAAAGGGGAGAGGATGTGATCAGTCGGGGAATAGAAAGCACCATATACTAGAGATTTAGGGTATATTTTAATCTGTTAGAAGAAACTATCTCAAAATTTTAAAGAGAGAACAACTTATATATATGAGCCAAAAATATGGGTAACTACTATGAAGGGATAGAATATGACTCTAAAAATGAAAAATAAAAAATTTTTTTTTAAAGGGATTGATAAGATGTTGGTTGAAAAAGGGAAAAAGAAAAATTCAAAAAGAAATAATAAGACAAAAAGACAGTTAAAAAAAATTAACTTTAAAAGACTAAAGAATCATGGTAAAAAAGCCGTGAATTCTATGTGCAGTATTCCCCTAGCGCTGGAGTTCTGCCGTTCTCATTGATCGGTAAACTTGGTCTTGGCTGGCTGTTCTCGCTGATCTTCTGGGGAGGGGCCTGTTGCCGTGGTTTCCAAATGTCTCTGCCGGAGGCGGAATTGCCCCGCCCTTGCCCCCTCCCGGCTAAGTAATCTGCTCGGGTTTGCTCTCCGGGGCTTTTGTTCCCTGCGAGCTTTCCGTACAGCTTTGGAGGACAAGAGTGAAAGGGCAGCCTCCCAATCTCCACCCCGGAGGAGCCGAGAACTCGGGGCCCCGCTCCTCAGTGAGCCCCCAGAGAAAAGCCATCAGTCACTCCCGTCTCCCCGCTCTCCGGCCGAACTCTGTGCTCACCCAGCCTGTGACTGCATGTTTCTATCTCTGGCACCCGACCCCGGGTGGAGTCTCCAAACCCAGCAGATCCCCGCGGTGCGCTCCCGCGCGGCTCCTCCCAGGGGAGGAAGGTGAGTCTCCCCGGATCTGCCGCTTGTTGGGTCCCTGCTGGAGGAGCAGTGGCCCGATTGTGCCGCGGATCACGGTTTATGGCCACCCCGAGCTGAGAGCCCGCGCCTGGGCTCCGCCTCTGCAGCCGGCTTCCCTGCTCCGTTACCTGGGAGCTCTGCTGCACTCAGGCACCCCTGGTCTTTCTGTGACCCCGAGGGTCCCAAGACCACACTGTCCCGGAGGGTTCCACCCCCCGCTTAGCCACCAGAGTGACGTCCCTCAGCGGAGCAGACTTTTAAAAGTTCCGATTTTGTGCTCCGTGGTTCTATCACTTGCCAGAAGCGGCGGCCGGAGGCCCCTCCCCCGCCGTCTATCCTCCCGAATATCGCCGCGGATTCACTTCTCCGCACGTCCTACCTTCCAGAAAGTGGTCGCTTTTCTGATGAGAGAGTTGTTGCTCTTCTTTTCTTCGATCTCCTGTTGAGTTTGTAGGTGTTCAGAATGGTTTGATCCCTATCCAGCTGAATTCCTGAGAGGAGACGAAATCCAGGTCTCCTACTCCTCCGCCATCTTGTCCGGTCCCCAAAACATGTCATCTTGATGGATGTTTCTCCTGCCAAACATCGTCCTTCTGCCACTTTACCTGGCAAACTTACTATTCAGTCTGCATACTTACCCTAAATTCTACCCACTCTCCTAAAACTCTAATTCCTCACTATGGACAGAGTATCTGGAACATATTAAATACCAATAAAAAATAACAATGGTAATTATAAGCACTAGGGGACTCTGGCACATAGTAAGCACTGAATAAAGTAGAGTAAATAATAAAAATGACAATGATAATAACAAATTCCTGGAGGGCAGGGATTGTGTTTTTTGAATGTTTGCATTCTGCAACATCAGAATAACACTTAGGAACTAAAAGACACTTGACAGTTATTTGTTAAGTGAACAAATGAAAATAAGTAAATTGCAAAACCAATAGACAGTTACCTTAAAAAAAAAATGTCTCATTGGTATTGCTGCATACTAGCTAAGTTTTGCAGTTCTTATTATTTGCCATTTGTTTACAATACCAGGAAGGTATTGTAAAGTCCCCAGTTTTAAGGAGAGTTCCTTTTTTTTTTTTTTAAACTTTTCCCCCTATTTCATTTTTTAGATTTCATTTATTTATTTGACAGAGAGATAGAGAGAGAGCACAAGTAAGCAGAGGGGCAGGCAGACGGAGAGGGAGAAGCAGACTCTCCACCGAGCAGGGAGCCCGATGCGGGACTCGATCCCAGGACCCTGGGATCATGACCTGGGCCGAAGGCAGCCGCTTAACCGACTGAGCCACCCAGGCGCCCCGAGGATAGTTCCTTTTTTAATGAGACAAATCACTATATAATAATATTTACTAAATGTAATCCACTTGTAAAAATTAAAAGATCCATTTTCATAACAGGTTCAATTTATTATAATATGCTTATAGAGAAAACATAAAACATACTAACTTAAAAATCTCTTTTTCTTATTTACACAAAGATATCATATGGGATTTTAGGGGTCATGACTAAAATAATGAATTTCTTTTCAGACAATACCGCCTCATATTTTAAATTACCTACAATTAACTTCTTTTGTTGTTGTTGTTCATACTGAGGTACTTTATTTAATTTTTTTTATTATGTTCAGTTAGCCAGCATATAGTCCATCATAAGTTTTTGATGTAGTGTTCAACAATTCATTAGTTGCATGTAACACCTACTGCTCATCATAACGCGTGTCCTCCTTAATACTCATCACCTGGTTACCCCCTCCCTTCTGTAACCCTCAGTTTGTTTCCCAGAGTCCAGTTTCTCTCACGGTTTGTCTCCCTCTGATTTCTTCCCATTGTTCATGACAGCAATGCCTACAATTAACTTCTTAAATAATCCTGAATACTAGACTCTTAAGAAAGAAATTAAGAAAGAAAAAAAAAAATAGGGGCATCTGGGTGGTTAAGGGTTTGCCTTCAGCTCAGTTCATGATCCCAGACCCTGGGATCAAGCCCCACATCGGGCTCCCTGCTAGGCAGGAAACGTGCTTCTCCCTCTCCCTCTGCCTGCCACTCCCCCTGCTTCTGCTGTCACTATCTCTCTCTGTCAAATAAATGGACAAAATCTTAAAAAAAAAAAAAGAAAAGAAAAGAAAGAAAAAAATACATATGCAATTTACACAGTAGGTTTTTTTTTTTTCCATTGCTCTTTCATTATCAAAACTTCCTTACTCTGACTTCATCTATGTTAGGACCACCAAAAGTAATTTACTCTGAAAAGTCTTAACTGCATTCTTACTTTGCAAATCATTGTTAAGTTTTTCTTCTCTATGTTCGGCAATTAGTTGGCGACTGCTACATATAAAAAAGGGTGATAAACAATGTTACTATTTTAATACTGATATGAAAAACATTTACCAAATATCAAATTCTTAGGAGTATTTCAAATAATATCAGAACTAATATCAAAGCTTGAAGTACCCCATATACTTCACATTTGTAAGTTCTATACACTTTTTATTAAGTATGTAATTAAAGGAGAAAAAAAGTAAGGTGAACCAGTCATGAATTCGTAATTTAGTAATTAGTAAATTAGAGTTAGCTTGCCATAACGGAAAGTGTCTAGAACTCAGAAATCCTAAGTCTCACAGCTATTTCCTCTTGGACAAGCCACTTCTCTTGGGCTCAGAGTCTTCCTCTATAAAACAGGCATCTTACTGCCTTATTTTACAAGGTTGTTAAGAGGATTTAATGAAATATTAAACCCAAAACATGGCCTTTCGGGAAAGGTGATGCCCACTACTCTGGGAAGGGCAATATGAGACCTTTCATCACCTAATAAGAAAAGGTGCTCCACAGGATTTAAAGCAGGCTTGGGATATAGGTCTAGTAACAAAGGAGAAAGAGAAGTCCAGTCTCTTCCTGCAGCATTATTTGAACCTCTTTAACAGCTTAGAATGGTCCCAACTACTATCTGCTGGAAGAAGAGACAAGGATAATTCATCCTGAAGGTCTGGGCTAACATATGGGCTTCACGTAAGGCTTTTGAGTGTGAAGGGAAGGGTGTGTGTGGCTAAAGCCAGGAGGCCCAGATGACAGAACAGGGTGCTGGTGCTTTGGAATAGCTGAGCATAGAAGCTTATGTAGTAAATGAAAAAAAAGTTGTAACTTTGAAGTCTAACTGTGGATCACCATGAAGACTGAGGAATGTGGATCAGCAAGGGCATCCTAGGAGCAAAGGTCAATCATGACCAGACTGCAGAACCAGTTTCTTTCTTACTTTTTTTCTTTTTGAAGATTTATTTATTTATTTATTTACTTGAGAGAGAGAGAATGAGAGAGAGCACATGAGAGGGGGGAGGGTCAGAGGGAGAAGCAGACTCCCCGCTGAGCAGGAAGCCTGATGCGGGACTCAATCCTGGGACTCCAGGATCATGACCTGATCCTAAGGCAGTTGCTTAACCAACTGAGCCACCCAGGCGCCCTGCAGAACCAGTTTCAATGGCAATGCTGTAGTAGTTGATGTCTTTTCCTTCCAAATGACTTGTGAAAAAAGATGGTCTCTTTGGTCTTAGGGAACTCCTCAGGTTCTTGGAAAATTCAAGGGGGAAAGTATAGGAGATAGCCCTCAAGGGAAAGTATAGGGTCTTCTACTAAATTGAACATCTCAAGACCCAAGTAACTAGTTAGAAAAAACAAGGATGTTGGGGCACCTGGGTGGCTCAGTCGTTTAAGCGTCTGCCTTCGGCTCAGGTCACGATCTTGGGGTCCTGGGATGGAGCCCCACGTCAGGCTCCCTGCTCAGCAGGGAATCTGCTTCTCCCTCTGTCCCTCCCCGACCCGTGCTCTCTCTCTGTCTCTCTCTCAAATAAATAAAATCTACAAAAGAAAGAAAGAAAGAAAGAAAGAAAGAAAGAAAGAAAGAAAGAGAAAGAAAGAAAGAAAGAAAGAAAGAAAGAAAGAAAGAAAGAAAGAAAGAAAGAAAGAAAGAAAGAAAGAAAGAAAGAAAAAGAAAAAACACAGATATAACATTATTTGTACCCCATGCATAACGGTTATACTTGGAATGAAACAGATACAGTTAGGCTCCCTAAGGATAAAGGTCTCAGTAGTCCTGAGATAAAGAATCCTGCACCCATTACTACTTCTTACTAGTCTAGCCTTTTTCTTGATTTCTGGCAAATGATGTGGGCTAACTCACTGCCATCCCAAAACTGCCTGAATCAAACAATGAACTCTCATCTGTTACATAAGAACTAACAGGGGTGCCTGGGTGGCTCAGTCGTTAAGCGTCTGCCTTCGGCTCAGGTCATGATCCCAGGGTCCTGGGATCGAGCCCCACATCAAGCTCTCTGCTCAGCCGGAAGCCTGCTTCTCCCTCTCCCACTCCCCCTGCTTATGTTCCCTCTCTCGCTGTGTCTCTCTCTGTCAAATAAATAAATAAAATCTTCAAAAAAAAAAAAAACCTAACAGTTAAATTATTATATACCTAAGTTTAGTAATAACTAACATTTTAATGTAAACACTTACACTTTAAGATCATTAAAAATAGAATATTCTTCTGCAGTCCATCCACACGCATCTTCAGAAAAGATATTAATACCTTGCTGAAGAAGAACCCTGACTAGATCTGCAGAATCATAATGTACAGCAAGCATGAGGGCTGTTCTAAAATAACAGAGAGAGAACTTCACCCTTAGGAACTTAAGAGTTATTTAAACAGCTAATTTGATATACTTTATCAGGTTAATATCTTGCCTGTCAGTACAGAATTGCCCATTAACATGTGCAAGTGCTCATCTTTGTAAATACCTCCATGGCTAAAATGAAAGGACAAAAAAGAAGCCTCTTGTCCTACTTGGCTATGACAGTAGAAGTTGCTAATTTAAAGTCCTTTGATAGGGGCGCCTGTGTGGCTCAGTCGTTCAGCGTCTGCCTTCGGCTCAGGTCATGATCCCAGGGTCCTGGGATTGAGCCCCGCATCGGGCTCCCTGCCCAGTGGGAAGCCTGCTTCTCCCTCTCCCACTCCCCCTGCTTGTGTTCCCTCTCTGGCTGTCTCTCTCTCTGTCAAATAAATAAATAAAATCTTAAAAAAAAAAAAAAGTCCTTTGATGAACAAGAAACTATGCTGAGGTCACTTATCTGATGGTAAAGATTTTAAAAAAGAATTCCCCATTTCTTCCTTAATCTGATACAGTGTACTTCCAAGCCATCTAGAAGACAGGTCCGTATAAAAAGCTATTTGCAGGGGTGCCTGGGTGGCTCAGTCGGTTAAGCATCTGCCTTCAGCTCAGTCATGATCTCGGGGTCCTGGGATCGAGCTCCACGTCTGGCTCCCTGCTCTAGCCCCTCCCCCTGCTCATGCTCTCTCTCTCTCTCAAATAAATAAAATCTTTAAAAATAAAAAAAAAAGCTTATTTGCAGGCTGAAAATAACAGTATTCATACTAATTACTTAGAATGAAAACTTATTGCATTTAAACATAACTAAAAGTTATGTCACACTCAAAACCCTTACGTGAAGCCCATATGTTAGCCCAGACCTTCAGGATGAGTTATCCTTGTCTCTTCTTCCAGCAGATGGTAGTTGGGACCATTCTAAGCTGTTAAAGAGGTTCAAATAATGCTGCAGGAAGAGACTGCAATGGCCAATCCAGATGTCATTGCTGTCCTAGTGGAGAGGAAATGCCAGCTTGACCTCTTTGATAAAGATTATAAGACCTCTTTGATAAAGATTATAGGACTGCTCTGATGAAGGTATGTGGAAGCAGCTGTGTCTGCCTGAGATGGATTTGATTTAACTAAAAGTTAGGAGTCCACACTTTATAAAACTAATAAAACTAATATGAAACCCCTTTAGCTAATATAAAATCATATGGCAAAAAAAAAAAAAAAAAAGCCTGCAAATGACATCAGTCAATAATATGAAGGAATATAAATTCTACCATATACTGTTCTTCATGTTGCCCCGTCAGAATAATTGCTTTCTGCCTAACTGATGACATGTTGACATTTTTCACTATATAAATTAATCCTCTTATTAAGTTAATCTTTCTGACTTGAGTAACTGTGCCACTCTAGAATATAAGGTTTAAAAAAACCCCCAAAACTACTGTACCTTTGCAACTTATCAACTGCATGTACATTTGCTTCTTTTTCTATTAAAAATTCCACCATTTGCTGTTTGTTCTCACTTACAGCAAGTAAAAATGGTGTGAGGTCATCCTGTAAAAGTGCAAAAACAATTTATAATTTACAAAATTACATATTTCCATACTGAATTTTAAAACTTATAAAGGATCCTCTAAACTCAAATATATAATATAGAAAGTACTCTCACCCTTCTGTGCTTTCACCAGCTGCTCCTTCTCTTTCAAATAGCCCTCCTCAGGGGGCCTGGGTGGCTCAGTCGGTTAAGCATCTGCCTTGGACTCAGGTCAGCTCAGGTCGTGATCCCAAGGTCCTGGGATCCAGCCCCAAGTCAGGCTCCCTGCTCAGAGGGGAGTTGGCCTCTCCCTCTGCCCTGCCCCTATGCTCCTACTCTCTCACCCACTCTCTCTCTCTCAAATAAATAAATTCTTTTTTAAAAAATAAATAAAACTAAATTAAATAGCCCTCTTCTACCTCTTCAACAGATTAACTGCAGTCATTCTCCAAAACTCACTTCATTGGCTGGTTCCAAGAATCTTGGCTTCTATCACAGTATTTATTATGGTATACTCTAGTTATTTTATTGCACCCCCTCTAAACCAAGAGCTTCTTGAGGGAAGGGATTATTTTTTTTCTCTCTATCTCCAAAATCTAAAACATAGCAGTAAATGCTTTAAGTATTTTTATTGAGTTAACAACCTAAATGATTATCTCTGGAGTAGTGTTTTTTAAATTACATTCCGAAGAACATATACTTTGCTGGAAGGTAAGTACTGTGCCCCAATAGAAAGATTCAATGATCATCTATGTCTGAGAAATATTACAAAATTGCACTATATATCTAGCAAAAGAAATCTGTTTAAATTTGCTTATCCCCATTTGACAATACTTTTTGTGGCAAACATTAACATTTGAGAAATTAGAGTTTTGGGGATATAGTTTTGAGAGCTTTCCAATAAAAATGAAGATTTTCGGGGTGCCTGGGTGGCTCAGTCGTTAAGCGTCTGCCTTCAGCTCAGGCCATGATCCCAGGGTCCTGGGATCGAGCCCCACATCCTGCTCGGCGGAAGCCTGCTTCTCCCTCTCCCGCTCCCCCTGCTTGTGTTCCCTCTCTCGCCGTCTCTCCGTCAAATAAATAAATAAAATCATTAAAAAAAAAAAAAATGAAGGTTTTCTCCAGGTTACATAAACATGCTTGATTCTCTTCTGTCAATGGTATCAGGATCCCAGATGGCAACATAAGGCACTCTTGATCCAAATGGGTCACTGAGGAGATGGACTCGGAATTAAAAGAGTGGCTTTGGGGCAACTGGGTGGCTCAGTCAGTTAAGCGTCTGTCTTTGGCTCAGGTCATGACCCCCGGGGTCCTGGGATCCACCCCTGCATCAGGCTCCCCTGTTTCTCCCTCTCCCTCTGCCCTTCCTCCATACTCATGTTTGTTCTCCGTCTCTCTCAAGTAAATAAAATCTTAAAAAAAAAAAAAAAGTATCATTAAAGTGAAATCTTAGACAATTAAGTTATTTCAAAATATTTTCATTCAGGGAATGCAGGAGCTTCCAAATATGAAAAACTGACCCTACCTGTCAACCAACAGTGTTTCTGTAAGGGCAGTGATAGAAATAATGCATGTCACAGAAACAGAAGGTGGACTGGTGTGCGTGGTCATCAACTACTCCCCATGTACAGCTACCACCCCACTGAGGAACTACACAAGGCTGAGCAGGAACTACTCTCTGAAATGGGAGACCCCAATGTGGTACGTGGCGGGAAGAGTGGCTACAAGCACAAGTAAATGCCCCTGTAGGATGTCATGACCTGATCCCTTTGCTCACATTTTCAGAACCTTGGGGCCTCGAGTGCCCAGGGCCTGCAATCTGCTGCTTTCTCCTCCCACTTGCACTCACCCAAGTTACCCCACTGGGTCAGGGTCTCCCACCCATTCCCAGCAGCACCCATTTCCTAAGCCCCTGCACAGCACCCAGCCTCCACCACCTCCACTCCCCTCTAGGCCTTCAATCCTTTGTGGGCTCTGAGCCCACCATCCACTCCCAAGCACTAATGGGAAGATTTTCTTTCTGGGGTGGAAGCGGGGCTGGGAGACAGAACTTCGCCCTCTCCATGGGCATCACCTTTCTCTAGCCCTCCCTGCCCTGGCTTTGGAGTTGTTTCCAGGATGACAGGACCTGATGTATAGAATTCAGTATATGTATTTATTACACATATAAATAAATATGTAAATAAAATGATTTGTGGCTAAAAAAATTTATGTATACATATATATATTATTTCAAATACTCTATAAATACACTTGATCTGCACCTTGTTTCTCACTTCAATATTTGCATGGTGTAGAAGCAGCTTCTCTGCTATTGATGTATTCGAACCAAGGGCGGCATAGTGGAGAGCAGTATTGCCAGCAATGTCCGTAAGATTTGGATCAGCACCGTGTTCTAGAAGAATAGTCACACATCTCTCATCCTGACATTGTACAGCCTGTCAGTATTATACCAAGAAACAGAGTGTCAATTCTGGGAATTTAAAGTAAACATGCCACAGGTTTCACCAATTAGTTATGTTTAAATGCAATAAGTTTTCATTCTAAGTAATTAAATCAAATCCATCTCAGACAGACACAGCTGCTTCCACATACCTTCATCAGAGCAGTCCTAAATCTTTATCAAAGAGGTCAAGCTGGCATTTCCTCTCCACTAGGACAGCAACGACATCTGGATGGCCAGTGGCACAGGCCAAATGAAGAGCAGTCCTATGAAAGTGAAAGAACTTTTTAGGAAATTATAGTGCACTATTTCAAAACATGCAATTAATTCATGTAATTGTAAATGTTAAATAGCATCTTATTCCTGTGACTCCAAAACCAGGATTTAGTTTTCTTTTGAAGAAAGTACAATATTTATTAGTGATTCTTCACCACACTAATAAAGAGCAGCCTATCTGAGTAGGTAGAGCATGACCTCAGGATTCAGCTTAACTTGGGTTTGACTCCTACTTTAACTCTGTCACTTAACAGTTATCACCTACTTAGCCTTATCCTCAATTTCCTCATCAACAAAATGGGGATAAAAATAGTTATCTCGGGTCCCCTGCCCAGCTCAGTTTGAAGATCATGTGACTCTTGATCTTGAGGGTTGTGAATTCGAGCCCCACGTTGGGTATAGAGATTACTAAAAAATAATAATAATAAATAAAGACTAGTTATCTCACAAGACCTCGGCGTGATGCTTAAATGAGGATCTATGCAAAGTTTGTTACATAATATTATTATAACTATTACTATTACTACTATTTTACAAAGACAACATCCAATTAGGTAAAGTGATACAATTATGCCTACTTTGTAGATATGTTTTAAGGATTCGCAAGAATACTATATTTCAGTGATTCTAAGATGCTCATTTTGTCACCTTTTAATATCTCTGACATTGGAATGCAATTTATAATTCAAAATGTCTTACAACTCTAATTGGCAGAATTGTTTTGCAATTTCTTATTGGTACAGAAAATACTGGGGCATCAGACAATCTATGGTGCCTTACATTACATGAAATAATGATATACACAACAGGTCTATTGCAGTTCTAGTCATATGCCTGGCATTTAAATAAATTTTAGTTCCTGAAAGCATTATGGGAAAAGAGGACTAAAATAACGGAGAATGTTTTTTAAGTAATTCTTACTCTGATTTTCAAGAAACTAAGCCAAAGGAAACTCAGGATTTAAATAAACAGGGACAGCTCATTTTATTAAATATTTCGATTTATAAATCACATGAAAATCAAGTACTACCAATTATCAATAGTAGTATTTAATACTATTATAAATTTCAAAAGGACAAGTAAAGGTTAACTTTTACAATTTCCTATCTTCAGAAATGTTTTCGTTTGAAAGGAAAGAGGAAAAGCTTTAACTGAGATTAAGTCCTAATACTTCAATTTAAAATTGCTCATCTTAGGGGCACTTCGGTGGCTAGTTGGTTGGGTGTCCGACTCTTGGTTTTGGCTCAGGTCATGATCTCCAGATCTTGAGATCGAGCCCCATGTCGGGCTCCGTGCTCAGCGTGGAGTCAGCTTGAGATCCTCTCTCTCCCTCTAACCCTCCCTTCTCCCTCCCCAGCCACTCCCATTCACTCTCTCTCAAATAAATCAATCTTTTCTTAAAATTAAAAAAATAAAATAAAATTTCTCATCTTAGTAGTACCTGGCCGGTTCAATGAGTAGAACATGCAACCTTAGTCTCAATGATATAAATTCAAGCCCCATGTTGGGTATAGAGATTACTTAAAAATAAAATCTTTAAAATAAATAAATAGATAGATAGATAGATAGATAGATAGATAGATAGATAGATAGATAGATAGATAGAATTTCTCATCTTACTAATACTGGGCAACATGAAGTCTTTAAGAATGAAAAGATTCTGGATAGAGTATGTCTCCTACATTACATGTGTTCAGATTCTATTTGATAAATAAATGGATTGAAAGAGTAGATAAATACAGTGGGAGAGCTCAATATTTTTTAAAGATTTATTTCTTTTAGAGAAAAAGAGAGAGTATGCGCAAGCGGGGGGAAGGGCAGAGGGAGAGGGAGAGAATCTCAAGCAGTCTCCCCACCAAGCAGGGAGCCCGACATGGGGCTCCACCCCCCAACCCCGAGATCACGACCCACGCCGAATTCAACACTCTGATGCTCAACCGATTATGCCACCCAGGCACCCCAGAGTTCAGTATTTTTAAAGAAAACTTTTATAAAGTAAAGCAATACATCTGAAATTGCAATAATCATTTATATTTCCTATTTTTGATTTTTTTCATAAGGACACAACTAAAATTTTATATACTTTTACAGTATCATTTATATTATTTATTTTCGTAAGGATGTAACTAAAATAAAATGATTAATCTATAATCACCTATATGTAATAAAGCTACACACAACAAAAAAATGTATATATTTAATGTATGAATAAAATCGACAAGTACAGGTAAAAACATTCCCTTTACTTCTGAAGAGGTTAAACGTTGTCAGAAGATACCAATCCCCACCCGCAGTCCCCAATTTTTTTTAAATAGAAAGTAAGAGGGGCACCTGGGTGGCTCAGTCAGTTAAGTGCTTGCCTTCATCTCAGGTCATGTTCCCAGGGTCCTGAGATCGAGCCCTGCATCGGGCTCCCTGCCCAGCAGGGAGCCTGCTTCTCCCTCTCCCACTCCCCCTGCTTGTGTTCCCTCTCTCGCTGTCTCTCTCTCTCTCTGTCAAATAAATAAATAAATAAAATCTTAAAAAAAACAAAAACAAAACCCTGTCTGTAAAGTGGTCTACCCGGGGAATTATGAGTGGGTCCAAAGGCAGCTGAAGCTTTCGTTTTCGTGCTCCGACAGCCGGCCTGGGCGCTACACCCCTGCTGGGGGCCTCAGGAGGGAAGACCGCAAAGCGCCCTCGGTGACAGGGGGGCTCCGCTCCACAGGCGGAGCCCGGGAAGGTGCGCGCTTCTCCCGGTCCGCCCCACCTCCTCCCCGCCGTCTCCGGCAGCCGGCCTCCAAGTCCCTATTACCTGTTCATCTGGTCTCTTTCGTCCACGCCGTGTTTCCCGGAAAGTAGAATCTCCTGCAGTTTCCTTACGTGGCCCATGCTGGCAACTTTGTGGATCTTTCTGAGATCTTTGTCTCGGATGTTGTACCCCCACCCGAAGCTGCTGGTTCCAATTCTCCTCTCACGCAGGATGCCCGGGCCGTCCCTCAGCGAGCTGGTAACGCGAAAGGACGACCCGCCCTTCTTACTCCCGAAGCTAAAAAACTTCTTCACCGCAAAGCCTGGAGGCTTCACAAACACTTCCCCTTCCCCTCCGCTTTTCACCGCCTCTAGAGCCCAACACTAGCGCTAGAGATAAGCCAAACCCGCCTCGCCACTACATCACAGTAGCGAAATTCCCAGGTTTGGAATCTTTGAGCGCAGCATAATGTAACCAAGCAACGATGCCAAACACAAATGCGCTTGCGCGCCTCACAAACCGGCGTCGCTGGGCCTGCGCGCAGAGGGCGGGCGGCCAAGGGTGCCCAAAGCGCATGTGCGAGGTCCAAGTCTCTCAAATCTCAGCGATCGCTTGTGAGCCGGCTGGGTTCCCCTTCAAACATTGGCGAGAGTTGGCTGAGCGTTTCTGAACCTTTGCAGAAGTTAGACTCGCCGGTGGGGAAAGGCACTCTTCCTATACTACTGGGGCTAGAGAGCATGAAACTTCAGGATGCTGAATGCCTCATCCCCCAGAAAACTTGCCTAAAAAAAGCTCTCCCTCAGTTTATTCCTCTTCCATATCCCTCTGGGCCCCAGACGGTCTCCATGCAATTGAGCAGATGCAGCAATAGAAAGTCGTTTTCAGGGGCTCCGGGGTGGCTCAGGTGGTTGGGCTTCTGCCTTCCCCAGGGGATGATCCCGGGGTCCTGGAATCGAGCCCCAGGTTGGGCTCCCGGCTCAGCAGGAAGCCTGCTTCTCCCTCTGCCTCTGCCTGATGCTCCTCCTGCTTGTTCTCTCTCTCTAATAATTAAAATCGTAAAAAAGAGAATATACTATAGAAGACGTAGAGAATGATGCAGTTCATCAGGTTCTTTAAAAGGTAAACAGAAAATTACTACATGACCCAGCAATTTCAATCATAGAAGTCTATCCAAGAAAAATAAAAACATGCATCTGCACAAAGACATGTATACATCCAGGGAGAAGGAAGGAGAGAGGGAGAGGGAAGGAGAAGAGAAAAGGGAAAGGGAGGTGGGCAATTAAAAAATGGGATGATGAATGTGGACCAAGGGTATATGGGAGTTCCTTGCATTATTCCAGTAACATTTCTGTAAGTTTGAAATTAGATCAAAATTTAAAATTATAAAAAAAAAGAGGCGAGGATATTGTATAGCGAACTCCCTCTATTAACTTCTTCAATGAAGACCATATACAGCTTAAAAGTTATTAGAAAACTGTAGGTAATTTTAATAAAATCACTTCAAGAATATAATTTGGTTGTAAAACCAATACAATGAGCTCTAAAATAATTTTTCTATTGAGTTAAATAAAGTCATCTGTAAATCCTGTAACAACATGTTCATATTCACAAAATCCAAATGAAAAGCAAACACAACTTTCCATTTCTAACATAGGGTAATTCAAAGTTCACTTTGAAGGGACTGAGATTTTGGGTTAATTTTTCTTTTAATACCAAGCATAATTATAGTTATTTAGATTTTGAAGTGACTCACTTTTTATTTAACAAAACACTTGCAGCTCTGAAATAAATTTCATTAGTAAGAATGATAATGATGTTTAAAAGAAAAAAGACCATGAAAATGCAAGCTGCATTTCCAAAAGGTTATAATCATTTAAATTCTGATTATATCTGTACATTTACAATTCTCTACTCTTAGGCAAAAACAAAAAGAACTATTTTATATATGGACACTCTGGAGCATAATTAAGTGCATCTTAATGAAGTTTCCACTGACCTATATAGAAATATGGTTCACCGATAGCCAAACGGCAGCATATCTTTAACAAAGATAAAAGGTACTATCTAAAAACAAAGACAATCCTTCAACAATTTTACTTTGCCAAGTAAAAATACTTCCAAAGAGCTAAAGGCACAATTTTTATTCACGTCTAGTAGAGGAACCAACCATAAAATCACTACTTATTTTCAAATGAATAACTTATTGACATTTCTCAAACAAGCTGTTTCCAATCCTAATAGTTCTTTATTTTCTTTAACATATTTATTATGGGTTGATAATTTGCAATAGGTGTCATTATGAGAATAACCAAAATTAGATTAAACATGACAAAAGAGAGACAAAGTGTTTCACACCCTTGAGTGACACCAAAGCAAGAATGGGAGAAAAGCATTGCAAAAGACTACTGAAATGCTACTTATATATTCTTGCAGTAAAACCAGCAATGCATCCATTTTAAGAGTTATCATCTCACTTCCAATTTCTTTCCCTCAAGAACAATTTGAATCTCTTTGGCATCCAAAGTCTCATAGGTTAGTAAAGCTTCTGCTAGATTCTTATGCTCTTTTGCATGAGTCTTCAAGATATGTTTCGCTCGTTCGTATGAGTCCTGAAATGAAAAAAGCAGGTATCTAAGAGGCAGAAAACTTAGGAGAAGCAAAAACCATAAATAAGAAAAAAAATGTATATGCCTTAAAAAATATGAAATATATTCATTTCTACTTATAAAAGATAAAAGCATTGGGCTCCATGCTGGGCGTGGAGCCTACTTGATAGATAGATAGATGATAGATAGATAGATAGATAGATAGATGATAGATAGATAGATAGATAGATAGATAGATAGATAGATAGATAGAGATAGATAGGGCAAGCTTGGTTCTCAAAGAGAAGTTTCGTATTTGCAACTGTTCTATTTTTAACCTCAAAATCTATCACATTGATAAATGAGGATTACTTAGGGAGCTACTTAAAGATATAAAAGTATGTATTATACTTATCTGCATTTTAAATAAGGTCTGTGAACAAAGAAATCTATTTTTCTATTCAATATACATGTTAAAAAGGAAAGGGAGGTTTGCTCCTTTTGCCTTGTGAGATTTCAGCAGAAAAGATCTACTTTTCTATTGTGTTATTTGATAACAACTCTGTCAGCCTGTGACAACTATACCACTGTAAAATGAGTTTACCAACATCAAGAAGCATAAGTCATATAAACATAACACAATTATTAAAAATAAACATCATTAGACATTCTGAACAAAACCGTTACGGTCAAGTGAAATCATCAAATTAAAGAAAACATATAAAGTATTATAAATATGTCATGGAATATTGAAACTAATATCCAAGGATGAATTAGTATTAACTTTAAAAACTTCATTGGAATGAAATCCTTACATTGTAACATGAAAGACTACGATAAGGTTTTCATATTTTTAAGTTTCATAAACATTTGAACCTAAAATGTATACTAGCTAGTCATCATTTCCCTTAATAACAATGTAAGCGTGCCATCTAGTGGAAAGAGTACCTACAGCCTTCCCAATCTTAACATTTCAGAAAAGTACTAGAGCAAAGAAAGAGTATTTCCAATGCCCTAAGAATACTAGAGTATAGATTTACTCAACATAAATAGTAAAGGAAAGAGAATGAAGATTCAGGGAAGGAAGGCAGAGAGAATTCCTCTTCTGAAACACCTTCTAAACCTTTCCATTATATAAACTTTTCATATACTTAATGACTTTAAACCATTTTCTACCTCCTTAAGTTAACCAAAACCTCGCCCTCCTGGGGGAGACTCCTGAGCCCTCAAGTGGCAGCTATTGATTCTTATCCCAGACATTTCAGGGTAAAGAGGTGAACTCTTTGTTCCCCTCACCGCTGACAGACCATTACTATGCTACCCTCTTCCATAAAGCACGATTCCTTTGAAGTTTACACCATCTGACTGTAGCCCTATTCAACATCCTTGATTTTGCAATCTACTACCCTAATTACAGTTCTCATTCACTAGACTTTCTGGAATTTAGCTCTGTCTTTTCCATTCCAAGACCTGCCTTCATGCACATCCAAATGGAATGCACATATCGAACCTCTGCACTAAGCACCAGGTCGACGTAGCTTCCTCAACTTGAAATCTTCACTAAGACACCTCAAATTCAGGAGCACCTGGGTGGCTCAGTTGGTTAAGCGTCTGCCTTCAGCTCAGGTCATGATCCCAGAGTCCAGAGATCAAACCCCATGTCAGAATCCCTGCTCAGCAGGCAGTCTGCTTCTCCCTCTGCCCCTCACCCACCCCACTCATGCTCGCTCTCTCGTTCTCTCTCTCAAATAAACAAATAAAATTAAAAAAAAAAAGACACCTCAAATTCAATATGTATAAAATTCAGCTCATAATCTACATACTTCCCCACCTCAGGCCATCATCAGTGTTTTCTCAGTAAATGGCACACACAACTATACAGCTGCATGAGGCAGAAACAGCTTTGTATTTAATTTAGCTGCTCTCTCACCCAAACATCAAAAAGGCATTTTGATTCCACTAGATCAGTATCTCTTGAACGCATTTTCTCAATTTCTACACTCACTGCCCTAATCCAAGCATCTGCTGTACCATGAGGAGACTCCACAGTAACTACCAACTGAACTCACTGAGTCTATGCTCACATATTCTGTACTGCACACTGCAATCAAAAAGACTTTTGTTTTCAAAGAACTTTGTGCTTCATTCTCAGCACATGCAGGCAGCTAGGCACAAAGCAAATAATATTTGTTGAATAAAATATATGTCAGAGTGAAAAACCAATAAAGACTCAAATAATCAATACCCTATTCTAACAACTCTATGGTTTTACAGCTTAAGTAGAATACTTATAATTACTGATATTAACTGTTCCTAGCCTATAGCCAGAATAAAATATTCAGTCTAAGACCAGAGGCTCCCAAACAACATATTGAAATCATGGTTTCAATGGTGCACTTACTCTCTTTATTATACATAGTGACGTTTCTAAACAGGGGATAACTCTTATCTTCTGGTAGTACCTAACTATTGAGGCACATTATGACCAGACAAATAAATAAGCATATAAAAATATGATCATTACCCTTAGAAGGATTCTAATTTCTTGTTCAATAGCAGATTGAGTTTCTGGACTCAGTTTCCCAGTATCACTGTAGGTCATAACTCCAAGCTAAAACAAACGAAAAGAAATTGAACAGAAAAACCCTAAACCACTAATAAATGTAACAGAGGAAGTACTATCCTATACTTAAGGAAACATCATGGGGACAAGGAAGAAATTCAATATAAAAACACCCTTGAGGGCAAAGAAATTTCATCATTCTTCTGAAAGTATAAGACTAAAATTAAAAATATAAGAGAAAAAATTTAAAATAATAAGTATGGCTCTGAGTACCTTCTTCGAAAACCTTTGCAGCTATTCCAAATCCAGAAATCCACAATGTAATGTATTAGAAATGACTCATGAAGCCACAGTGATAATGTAGGAGAGTGAAATATGTGGAAAGGGTAAAGTAAGCAAGCTCAGCAAATAGGTGTTTTATGTCATAAGAACAGAAAATAGAATATCTTATCATTTGCTTAACTCATGAGATACTGTTATTGTCCAAGCAGCCAGAATGGAAAGTGAATACTATATGTTATTACTCAAAAAACAAAAACAGTTTAGTTTAGAATAAGCTGTGACAAATCTACTTGAAATGAGACGGGCGAGCGGGAAGTAAATGTTACCAATCTATAATGAGAACCCTCTCTCATAGGGCGCCTGGGTAGCTCAGTTATTTAAGCCACTGCCTTCGGCTCAGGTCATGGTCCCAGAGTCCCGGGACTGAAGTCCTGCATCGGGTTCCCTGCTCCCTCAGACCCTCCCCCGTCTCGTGCTTTCTCTCGCTCGCTCGCTCGCTCTCTCTCAAATAAAATCTTAAAAAAAAAAAAAAGAACCCTCTCTCATAAACAGACACTTGGCAAATCATCATTTGATACATGAGGAAGAGTTAAAATTAGCTATTACCTTTTCACTCATTCCAAATTTGGTAACCATCCGCTTTGCTATTTTAGTTCATTATCAAAATCACTGGAAGCACCTAAAATTTTAAAATATACATAGAACTCAATTTTTTAAAGTATTTTTAAATCAGCAAGCACAATTTGAACTAAAGCCATTCTTTACAGCCAACCTGTTGTGATATGGTCAGTTCCAAATATAAGCTCCTCAGCTACTCTTCCTCCCATACTAACGTCCATCTGTGCAAGCAACTGAGCTCTAGTTTCATTCCATCTGTCATTCTCAGGCAAAAGGGACACCTAGACAATTGAAAACAAAGAAAAACTTCAGACACAGTTTGAAATACCTATATTAATAATCAGAATTATCATTTGGCTCTTGCTATAGTACTTAATATCATGATGCTGACAGCTCAAAAAAATTTAGTAGAGATGGTCTCAGGCGACTAATGACAAAACTGGCAATATACAAAATAAGAAAAATTCTTTATAAGGCAAAAGTTCATTTTATATGTAATACGTATATGATGCTGCAAGAGGATGGACTTATACCCAGGTGCACAAAAATGCTTAAAATGTCTATCATTAGAAAGGTATGAAAATGAAACTTGTACTCGATAAGAAAAATCTTAGAAAAACTATGGAACCACTGACATAGTTTCTTTGTGGAGGGAAAAGAGCAATTACCTATTTAAGAATGATACTTTGTTGTCATTCCAGATTTAAATTTCATAATGTAAATATATAATATTTGAAATATTAGTATTCTTTATTAGCAGATGTTTCACCAGTATCTCTGATTTCACAATGGTTCAGAATGTTAAAGAAGAAAGTTCTCAGCAAACTTAGGAATTAGTTGAATTTTCTTTTTAATTATTTTCATCAATAATTTCCTACCTAAGTTTTTGGAGAGTGTTACTTGAAAGAAAAGAAAAAAAAACTACAAGATACTTACATGTCCAAGTGTTGGCCCTCGTGGCATGATTGTAGCTTTGTTGATAGGCATTGCATCTTTAGTATAATATGCAATAATAGCATGACCAGATTCATGATATGCTGTGATGGTTTTGTTTTTGTTATCAATTTCCACACTTCTACGTTCAGGCCCTAAGGATAAAAATTTAACTGAATAAAATTATTCTGTTAGGAAAGTATATTTAGATGAATGAAACCCACTTGCCTTTAAGTAATTCTTAGGGTGACATGACTTAATATCATTAACAAATATTTTAAACCACAATAACTTGACAAATGACAACCAAAATTGTAAGAGCTGTCATCTTACTCCTTACTATCAACAAGGAAAAAGTTTAATTCTATTTCCAGAAAATAAATTTAAAGAAGAAATGTCATAACTAACCTGTTCTGAAGCCAATTCAAGATTTAAAATCAAATACTGAAAATTAGTAAAATTATTCTTTTATCAGCAATATCAGACAAGAGGAAACACATGGGCACCCCTGCCCCCAAAGAGTATAATCATACAAACTATATTTGTTCTGTAAGAGGCCCAATTGTGTGGCTATTTTTGAGTATGTGTTTTCTTACTCCTGTACCTTTCTTTTTTATAACCTTTTTCTCAAAAAGAATTTATTCTTTAACATAATGAACAGTGTTAAGACAGGGAAAAAGAAAAAAGGGGAGAGAAAACCTACCCATTAGAATTTTATCTTTGGAAAACTCTAGTTCCTTCATGGTAACCGTTTCTTTTCCATCAACAGCTGCCTTTAATGCAGCCTGGTTCACAAGATTCTCCAACTCTGCTCCAGAAAAGCCAACAGTACCTCGAGCTATAATTTCTGGATCAACAGCTACACAGACAAACACAATATTAAAATTCCAGAACAACTCTTCAGAAACAACTCGCATTCCAAAAGAAAAAAGAAAACAGCTATCCTGAACTAGAACTTAAAATATTTATTTCACTGTAACTATAAAATAAACTTATTTTTCTAGAGGAAAAAGCCAAAATTGCCATTAAATATATCATTAAAACTACCAGTGGGACAAATCACAGAAGTTCTTAAAGAACTTTGTGGAAAAAAAAAAAACAAAGAAATTCAGAGTTGCCAGACTTGATTTATAAACCTTCAAATTATAACCTAAATTGTTACTAGCCTAAGCACAAACTGAAAATGTATACTCAGACAACAGTTTATTGGGGCACCTGGGTGGCTCAGTCGTTAAGCGTCTGCCTTTGGCTCAGGTCATGATCCCAGGGTCCTGGGATCGAGCCCCACATCGGACTCCCTGCTCAGCGGGAGGCCTGCTTCTCCCTCTCCCACTCCCCCTGCTTGTGTTCCTGCTCTTGCTGTCTCTCTCTGTCAAATAAATAAATAAAATCTTTAAAAAAAAAAAGACATTTTGTTTTCTGAATTTCATCTTGAAATACTTTATACATAAGTATTCAGTATTTTATGTACATTTATAAAAGCTCCCATTATAAGAAACATATCTGGTTTTACAAATTGATTCACCTATCTTTGAAAATACTGCAGCTTAATAGCTGCATTTATTACTTAAGTGGGTCCATAATATTTTCATATGTTTTGTTTTACAGTTTGCTTCTTTTGGGCCCAAAGTGATTATATGTGTTTTTTCTACTATTACATTCATCTTAAAAACAGTTATATATATATTTATCTTCAAGTATTATTTATCTAAGTAATCTAAAGAAAACAGTCTTTTTTTTTTTAAAGATTTTATTTATTTATTTGAGAGAGTGAGTGAGAAAGAGAACATGAACAGGGGCAGCGGGAAATGGAGAATCAGACTCCCCTGCTGAGCAGAAAATCCTATTCAGGGCTCAATCCCAGGACCCTGGGATTACGACCTGAGCCAAAGGCAGCTGCTTAACAGATTGAGCCACCCAGGTGCCCCAAGAAATAAACTTTTTAAAAAGGACATATAAGGGGCGCCTGGGTGGCTCAGTTGTTAAGCATCTGCCTTTGACTCAGGTCATGATCCCAAGGTCCTGGGATCGAGCCCCGCATCGGGCTCCCTGCTCTGTGGGAAGCCTGCTTCTCCTTCTCCCACTCCCCCTGCTTGTGTTCCCTCTCTCGCTGTGTCTCTCTCTGTCAAATAAATAAATAAAATCTTTAAAAAAAGGACACATAAATGGAGAGAAAAAAAGGACATATAAAAAACTGGTCTTTTGAGACATTTGTCAAGTAACCACAAACAGGGCAGAATGAAATATTACCATTTTATAGAGATAATAATAAAGTTTATTACTGGAATCAGACTTACACTGATCAAACTTTATTTTATTGAGATACCATTTCAAAATTTCTGTTCGACCTTTTACATCTGGTCTTGGAACTGTAACCTGCATGTCAAAACGATCAGGACATATTAAGGCACTAAAGGGAGAAGAAGAAAATATAAATTAATAATCTGAGTACACTGAAGGTCAAATTAAATAGGACTGACACTCTAAAGTCAAGATGGAAGGGTAATGGCAACCAGAGGTGAGACTGGAGTTTTGGTTTTTATTTTAATTCCAGGACAGTTAATATACAGTGCTGTATTAGTTTCAGGTATACAATATAGTGATTCAACAATTCCACACATCACCCAGTGCTCATCACAACAGGTGCACTCCCTAATCCCCATCACCTATTTCACCCTAGATTGGAGTTTTGAACATAAATATTCAGATAACTCCTTGTAAAACATGACTCAAGTAACAGTTTCAATAACCAGAAGGCAGAACAAAGGTTGACAGAGAGAGGTAATACACAACCCTCAAAAACAAAAACACGCAAGCCAGTCACTCAAGGAAAAATAATTCTAGAGCAGTCTATTATGAGAGCTACCCTGTGATAGCTTCCTATCACAACTGCTGTAAGTACAGAATGTTAAACTACAGACTTAGGCAAAGATAAAACTATTAGATCAAATTAAAATATGAGTAACTTCTATGATAAAATCAAAAATTTAAAACTCTAATAAATTTTATTTTAAAAATGCTCTCCACCACCCCCAAATTCTGTGATATAAAGTTGTCAGAAGATTAATGACTTTACTGAAATTTAAATCATGTATCACAGAATCTCAAGTAGATAATCCAGTGGTTTTTAATATATTCAAAGTTGTGCAATTATCAACAATCTACCTCAAGAATATTTTTATTCCCCCACCCCAAAAGAAACCCCACAGCCACCAACAGCCACTACTCTCCATTCTTCCCACCCTCTGGCAACCACTAATCTACTTTCTGTTGCCACCGATTTGCTTATTCTGGACATTTCATATAAAAAGAATCATATGTGAAGTTTTGTGATGAGCTTCTTTCTCTTTTAAAGTTCATCCATGGTTCAGTATGCATCAGTACTTGTCAAAAAAGTCTTTTAATACGTACTTATCTAATGCCTCTGGGAAGTTTGCGGCTCCTATTATGATAACTCCTTCATTGGGTTTAAAACTATTAAAAAAGAAAAAAGTAACGTTTCACTGAACATTAAGAGTACACATATAGAAATGCTCTACACAAAACTGTTTATCATTAAACTTAGTAACAGCAAAGAAGAGGGACTGATCTTTTTTATACCCAAAGTGATAAGACATCTCTATTATTTTTTAAAAGGAACACATGTTATTAGGCCAGTACACTTCAATAAAAATGCTAATAATAAGTCACAAAGTCATCTATGATTACATGCCTTCACGGTATTTGTTCTACTTAGGAAGACATGACCTGACAGGAAAGGCTTGGGTAGGGGTGCCTGGGTGGCTCAGTCGTTAAGCATCTGCCTTCGGCTCAGGTCATGATCTCAGGGTCCTGGGATCGAGCCCCGCATCGGGCTTCCTGCTCGGCGGGGAGCCTGCTCCTCCCTCTCCCACTCCCCCTGCTTGTGTTCCTTCTCTGGCTGTGTCTCTCTCTGTCAAATAAATAAATAAAATCTTAAAAAAAAAAAAAAAAAGAAAAGGCTTGGGTACCTGACTCATTTGTGAAAAATTATTCTCAAGTTTACCAATTCAAATTATTTCCTCCTAGACTTCCTGTTTGGTTCCAAAATGTCTTATATGGTTTTAAGAAGTTTTTCCTTCTTTCAAAGCAATCCCACATCTTGCTCTTTATATTATAAAAACTGATACAAACTTTTAATCTACCACAACACTAATACCTAGTCACAAATTGTGTAGGAACCAGCATACACTCTTTACATCTCCAAATAGACTAGTATTCTCAACTGGAATCATCACTTTCCTGTCATCATACAATTAATGAAAAAAGGTATAGAGATCACCAATTAAGAAGAGTTGATATGTCAATCACTCCATTAGTAATGCAAAGAACACAATACAGAGAATGCAGCTTGTCTTGACTTCTTGCACAGGGACTACTCTGTTGCCTACATTTTTTTCTATTTCTTTCTCTTTAAGATTTTATTTTTAAGAAATCTCTATACCCCATGTGGGGCTCAAACACACAACTACGAGATCAAGAGCTGCATGCTCCACTGACTGAGCCAGCCAGACACCCCGCTATTTCTCGAATGTTACCAAATATATCACCATATACCAAAGACAGAGGACGATTCACTTACCCATCCATTTCAGCAAGAAGTTGATTTATAGTCTGCCTTGAATATGGGTGCATTGGAGACTCAATTCGCTTCCCACCAACAGAATCTAATTCATCAATAAATATAACACAGGGAGCATTTGCTTTTGCTTCCCCTAGGAAAAGAGAAAAGATTCAAGTAAGTTTAATGAAATCAATACTTTTTGAACAAAATCATGTAAGTATTAAAAACCTGTAAGCCTGTCAAAAGCCAACAGAAGACATTCATTAAGGAGAAAATACACAAAAGGAGATCTTTCTTTCTTTTAAAACTGATATAAGAACAGTAGAAACCATAGAAAATGTACCATAGAAAATGATATATAATAAAAACTGAGTATTCATTCTTCCACTGTACAAACCATATACAATCAGACTGGAGGCTAATTATTCTTTAATTACATGCTATTGAATTGATGAATAAGATAAAAAGGATAACAACAACAACAAAAAAACCCAGCTTTTCAACAGGCCCCAACCTCATCTAACACTTCTAGCTCTTCTATTTGGGGAAAAAGCACGGTTCTGTTTTAGCTCACACATTAAATTACCTAAAACCAAAACCCCACAATGGCTAGGTCAGCTATCAGTCATAATCAAGTAGCAAATAAAAGGTAAGAAGCCCTCTTTCCCTTAAATTAACAAAATTTCGTATTATATGAGAGATACATTAAAACATACTAAATAGATTTCTGATACGGCTGGCTCCCACACCCACAAACATTTCATCAAATTCTGATCCAGAAGCATAATAAAAAGGAACATCAGCTTCTCCAGCCACAGCTCGAGCAAGAAGTGTCTTCCCTGTCCCTGGTGGTCCAACTAAAAGTATTCCTAAAAGAAAAAATAAATAGAATGGGTCAAATTAAAAAATAAAAATAAACCCTGATGTGAACCTATAAAAGTTATTAATTAATGTATATATAGTTTTGAGGTTGAAGGCACATGACCAATATTTTGAAACAAAACATACGTCTCTAGTAATGATTCACTTCAGGATCTTCAAAACTAATTTTTCTCTACCATTTCTATCTTGAGCGAATGGAATATAATAAACTTATTTATCACTAAACAAGATAAAACTCACATAAACACAGATTAAGAGATTAAACAACCAAATGTGACACATGAACCCTTGACTCGATGCTCTTCCATAAAAAACATTTAAGAAATTCTAGGGACATCTGATGCAAATTTGAAAAAATACTGGAGTACAAGATATTAAGGAAACAGTATTTAGTTTTATTTGGTAGGATAAATTATTCTCTTTAGGATAATGTCCTTAGTCTTAGGTGATACACAGCAAAGTATTTAGATGTATAAAGTAATTAATGTCTACAGCTTTGTAACTATTCCATATGTTTGAAAATCTTCCTAACAGCAGTATGTTTTTCATAAGTGGGAATAACAGAATTCTCTGGTTTCCACAACTTTTCATTTTTCATGTAAAAAAAAACTGTATTAATGCTATATTTTAACATAAAACTCTTTTTAAAGGAAAGTTGCTGAAAAATACCCTTAAGACTATCCTCTTGTATTGCCATGTTATTGTTACTCTTAGCTGGTTTAAATCATCATATCAATTTCTGTAGGATCTATTTTGGTACCTGAGAATTTTCCCACAATTTTATAAAATATCCCTTGTGATTAGAAAAAGTGTAACTACTTTATGACTTTAAACGTGTTCTTTATGATGTTATAGTATTGACTTTAATAAATGAATCCCAAATTAGCAGAGATTCATGCAAACATTTTTATATACTGCTGAACACTGTCAGTAGAGATAGTGGGCAGCATAAAAACAAACCTTAAATATGAGTCCCCCCTTTAACTCACCAATTCCATTTCTAGAATTGGAATCTAGAATAATAATAAATAAATGAGTAAATATAGAATTTATTCTAAGGAGATAATTAAGCATGTGGGCAAAGCCTTGAGATATTAAGATGATTATCACAGTGCTGATTTTATTATTTTAATTAAAAACTGTTTTAGTTGATACACAGTTACATTAATTTCAGATGTACAACATAGTGATTTGACAAGTTTATACATTATGCTGTGCTCACCACAAGTGTAGCTACCATCTGTCACCATACAATACTATTACAGTATCACTGACTATATTTCCTATGCCTTTTATTCCTCTGACTTACCCATTCGACAACTGGAAGCATGTTTCTCCCTTTCCCCTTCACCCATTTTGCCCAGCCCTCACATTGCTAATTTTAAGAGCAAAACATTGGAAACCATAAAAGTTTAATATAAGTGGTTAAAGTATAGTACAATCCTACGGTACAAGGACACCACAAAATCATACTTGTACCCAGTTCCAGCATATGGTTTTCCCTCACACCCACAAACAGTTCTCCAACACCAGATGGGCATCTTAATATTCAACTCAATTCTCATGCTACCTACCTGGAGATAGCATCAAATACTGTAAGTTAAGGACTTGGTCCCAAAAGACGGCCTCTATCCCCAACCCTCACGATGTCATTTGCAAGACCAGGTTGTTACCTGTGCTTCTGACTGACAGATCATAGACAGGAAGTTCCAGGGACCCCTTCCTTGGATTTGATTAATTTGCTAGAATAGCTCAAAGAACTCAGAGAAACATTCTACTTACTTGATTACTGATTTATTAGAGAAGGATACAATTCAGGAACAGTCAGTCAGATGGAAGAGATGCATAGGGCAAGGAAAGGGAAAAGGATTGCTGAGCTGCTATGCCCTCTCTAGATATGCCACTCTTCCCACATCTCCACATGTTCACCAACCTAGAAGCTCTCTGAATCCTATCCTTTTGGGTTTTAGTGGAGGCCTCATTACATAGGCATGACTGACTCAGCCTCCAGCCACTCTCCCCTCCTAGTCAGGAGGGTAAGACTGAAAGTTCCAGCCCTCTAATCACATGGCTGATTCTCCTGGCAACCAGCTCCTAACCTTAGGTGTGTTCTAAAAGTCGCCTCATCAACACAACAGAAGACAAATCTATTGCTGTCATCACCATGAAACTACAAGAACGGGACTAACACTAAATATATATTTCTTATTATAAATCACAAGAGTCATTAAAAATCATATTAACTGTGAGAAAACATGAGACAAAGACAAACCGAGGAACATTCCACAAATTAGTATGTATTCTGCACAATTTTTAAGGTCTTGAAAGATCCACACACACTCCCATAAGAAAAGGCTGAGGAGGTGAGCCTGGGTGGCTCAGTCAGTTAAACATCTGACTTCGGCTCAGATCACGATAAGGTCGTTAAGATTGAGCCCCACGTGGGGCTCCACACTCAGTGTCTGCTTTAGATTCTCTCTCCTCCTGCCCTCCCCCAGACCAACTCCTGTGCTTGCATGTGTGCTCACTCTCTCACATAAATAAATAGACAGATAGCTAGCTAGCTAGACAGACAGACAGAAAGACAGACAGGCAGGCTGAGGAATTTTTTCAGGTTAAAAGAAAAATCTAAGGGTGCCTGGGTGGCTCAGTAGGTTAGGCAGCCAACCCTTGATTCTGGCTCAGGTCATGCTCTCAGGCTCCTGGGATTGAGCCCCATGGCTGCTCTGCACTCAGGAGGGAGTCTGCTTGAGGATTCTCTCTCTCCCTCTGCTCCTCCCCCCACCTGCTCTACCTCTCTCTCTCTTTCTCTAAAAGAAATTGATTTTAAAAAAAAGATTAAAGAAAAATCTAAATGTGTAAACCTGGATTGAGTCTAAACCTGGGGTTGGGGGTGGGGGATGGGAGGACCCCACTACAAAAGATATTATTAAGAGAAATGCAGAAATTTGAATATAACTGAATTTCATCATAGTTCTGAAACCATGTTAAATTTCCTCATTTTAATAACTATGTTGGAGTTACATAATAGAATTTCTTATTTATAGGAAATACATAATGAGATATTTGGGGTTAAAGGAGCATGATATCTACAATTTACCCTTAAACAGTTTAAAAATACATTTATGTAGCAGCGCCTGGGTGGCTCAGTCGTTAGGCATCTGCCTTCAGCTCAGGTCATGATCCCAGGATCCTAGGATCGAGCCCCACATCGGGCTCCCTGCTCAGTAGGAAGCCTGCTTCTCCCTCTCCCACTCCCCTGCTTGTGTTCCCTCTCTCGCTGTGTCTCTCTCTGTCAAATAAATAAGATCTTAAAAAAAAATACATTTATGTAAAGAAAGTGAGCAAATGGGACAAAGTGCTAAAAAACTATTGAGTTTTGTTAAGAGTACAGAGAGTTCTCTGCACTATTCTCACAACTGAAATTGTTAACAAAACTCAAAATCCCCTTCCCCTCAAAAAAGGTTATATAACGTTCAGAATGAAGACTTATTTGTAAAATAGCAATTAAGAACTAAACTTTAAGCTTTTAAATTGGTAAAGATTAAATTAGTAATGGATTACAGTATTTTTTTGACGTCAAGTCATGGTAAAGGGAAGATATCTTACCTTTTGGAAGTTTACCTCCAAGCATGGTAAATTTTTGTGGATTTTTCAGGAATTCAACAACCTCCTGTAATTCTTGTTTAGCTTCCTCCACCTAAAGTGATATAATTTATCAAACAATTTTAAGTAATGATTAGATTATCAAAGCCTCCTCTTTGAAAATAGTAAATTTAACTGGAAATTAACTTGAAGGCTCCCTTATCAATGCACACACAAAAGGGATTTCACCCAACTCTTTTTGCCAATTATGCGGTCTCCTTACATATCTCAACAAAAAACATTAACTTCTTACATTTTTTTTTAAGATTTTATTTATTTATTTGACAGAAAGAGACACAGCGAGAGAGGGAACACAAGCAGGGGGAGTGGGAGAGGGAGAAGCAGGTCTCCCGCAGAGCAGGGAGCCCGATGCGGGGCTCGATCCCAGGACTCTGGGATCCTGACCCGAGCCGAAGGCAGACGCTTAATGACTGAGCCACCCAGGTGCCCCAACTTCTTACATTTTCAAGTAGTGCTTCCCCCAGTTAACAAGGACTTATATTCACAACTCTAGTTGAATGTGTCAGCGGCATTTGGTATAAACAGAAAGACTCACCTACCAAGTTTCAAATCCAGAACTTTTGACCTGGTTTATAAGCTTCAAGGGCAAATTATGTGAGCTTAATACATATCAATGAAAAGGGAGTCTGTGTTTAAGTTATAACATTAATTTATGATTAATTATTAGATTATTTTCATTATAAGGAATTACCACTAGATTATAAATGACTTAGTTCCTTACAAATGCCAAAGGGTGGAGACTAAAATTAAGCCAAAGTGCACTGATACTGCTTTGTAAATGGTTCTGGCAAAAAATGTTCAAAAGATTTAATCCCCCAAATACAAAAACCATGTAGAATTAAGGTCTCTCGCAAGAATAAAGCCCAATCTGGTCAAGAAAGATGGCATGGAGAGTATTAGCTCAACTTTAAAAACTCTGATATAAGATTAAGAAAGCTGCCTATCAGGGGTGCCTGGGCGGCTCAGTTGGTTAAGCATCTGCTTTCGGTTCAGGTCATAATCTCAGGGTCCCTGGATATCAGGCCCTCCACTCAGTGGCAGATCTGCTTTTCCCTCTCCCTCTATGATCTCTCTCTCTCAAATAAATAAAAATCTTAATAAAAAAAAAAGCTGCCTATCAGAAATTAGTTAGCATACAACCAGAAGTAACAAATACAAGTACCTAGAGCCAGAATGATATCAAAGATGAGTGCAGAAGACCAGATATAAAATAACAGTGGTGGCAGTATGCTGAACTGGAAAGCAAAGACCCTTAGAGAGGACAAACCACCATGACTTGACTCTACCACAGAATATAGACCTAGTGTTCTAGACTTCAATTTTTCAAGAAAAAAAACAGACATTAAAAATGTTAGCTATCAATTTAAATTAAAAGCACATTTATGTGTGTACTTTCATGTATTTATTTTGAATTACACTGGCCTAATCATACATTTGTAGCCAATTTGCAACCCTACATTAGACAACTTTAAATAGTTCTCAGTGGGAAAAAAAGAACTCAAGTACATTGGTCAGGGTTAAAAAGAAACTACCTGACAAGAAGTGTACTAAAACATGAAACATCTCTGGGCTGAAGGGCATTATTAAAATCTAGAATTAAACTCATGATTCTCTTAGATTCCTAGATAATTTTCTAGGACGATTTCTAGGAAGTATACAATCATTAAAGAGTAAACAGTTTTTTAAATTAGGCTTAGAATAGTCTTTGAAAGTTATTGATTACATTATTAAAACTTAATAAAATGTTTGTAAAGTTAACAGTTGTAAGTAAAGCTCTGTCTACTCCTAAGGAGAAATGCGTACATATGTTCACCAAGAAACGTAAAAAAAATTCACAATAGCACTCTTTAGGCCAAAACTAGGAACAACCCAATTTCTACCTAATGTGGAATATACAATATTGTGATATTCATAGAATACTATGCAATGGGAATGAATGAAGTACAACTTTATGTAAAAACATGGATGGATCTCACAAACATCATGTTGAGTGAAAGAAGCCATATACAGTATGTAAAATTCAAAAGCAGGCCAAATTAATGTATGTTATGAGACAGAACAACGATTATGCTTGCAGTGGGAAAAAGGGACACTAGGAAGTTTCTGGTAATATTTTATTTCCTGAGCTGGGTGCCAATAATAGACTGAGTTCACTGTGTGAAAATTTATTAAGGTATAGATTTGTGATTTGTGCAGTTTTGTGTGAATGCTAAGCTTCAATAAAATTTATGTTTATAAAGAGATTTGGGGGGTACCTGGGTGGCTCCTGGGATCGAACCCCACATTGGGCTCCCTGCTCAGCGGGATTCAGCTTCTCCCTCTCCCTCTGCCCCTCCCCCACTCGTGCTTGCTCTCTCTCTCAAATAAATAAAAATCTTTAAAAATATATATGTATATACATATAAAAGAGATTTGGCTCTTTATCTATTAAAATAAGCTTTTTAAACATTCAAAGATACCCATATACTAAAAGAAGGCCAAAGTACATTTGGTCAAGGTAACAAATAACTTTCCATTGGAGGAAAAGGAAAACAAATTAGCTGTCACCTACTAATCAAACTACATTTTCTCTGCCCAAACTCTGTGTCAGGAAAATTACCAATTGAGGTATATAAAATCCATACAGGAAAATAGAGTTTAGGGAACAAGGCAATGAATAAAGTTATAAAAGCCCTTATTAGTATTTTTATGGCAGCTATATATAAAATTATTCCTACATAACCAGAAATTCTAGGCAAGGAAATGACATTCCTATACTAGCTCTTTAAGATTTGGTAAAACTGATCACAGGTACCACCTACTGGCATACCTATTTTAGTAAATGTTATAAATTACTTTGGTGTACATAAATTTAGATTTTATAGCAATGAGAGCAATATAAAATTATAACAGTAATTATATTTGTTTAGATTAGCACAGGAAACTGTGACAATCTAAAAACTTTGTGATGTCCCCATTTCTAGTATTATCAGCATGTCTTCTTTTAGCTTCGTAATCAGAATTGGACTCATTCCAAAAGAAGTATAGTATATTGAGTAACTGAAGTATATACACTGCAGGGAGAAAGTAAGAATGCCTTGCTGACCATAATCTCAGCACAGGTTCAATGTAGAGCAGGCTGACTGCACATCTTAAACAAAATGGGAAGAGCCCTCTGCACTAATGAGTCAAGTTTTCAAATACTCACTGCACTAACCTCTTCCCCAATTATTCTCTTTCTGCAACTCCAAGAGGATTCACAGCTGTTTAAATTGCAAAGGGAAGGGAAGGAATACTTGGTATAAAACTATCATAGTGACCCCTGATACTTAATTCCCTAATAGTCGAGGTTGTGAAAAATATTTATGCATAGATAGGGAAGAGTGTGGAAAAAGGAAGAGCTCTCATTCTATTCTATATTAAAGTGGCCTTTTTATTGGTCGGCAAACAAGTCAGGCACATTAACTCTTCAGGATCTTTTTCTCTCTTTCTCTGGCTAGAAGTGTTCTTTGCTCAAATACATGCATGGTTTAGGCACACCTGGCTGCCTCAGTCAGTAAAGCATGTGATTCTTGATCACAGGGTTGTAAGTTCGAGCCTCACATTGGGTGTACAGATTACTTAAAAATAAAATCTTATAAAAAAAGATACATGCATGGTTTACCCCATCATCTTCAAATCTTCACTCAAATGTCACCTTCTCAGTCAATCATACACTGAATATCCCCATTTAAAACTGTGACCTTTCTCTCAAAACTCCCAATCCTCTTTATGCTGCTCCGTCTTTCTCCCATCACTTTTGAACATACTCTAGTATTTCCTTATATACAATATCATGGTCTAGTTTCTGTTAGAACTAAAAATCCATGACAGCAGAGATTTATTTATTCTATCCCAGTATCTAAAAGAGGTCTGGAGAATATGCGGTGAAGCTAAAAGGTCCAAGGTTCTAATCATGGCTTGGTCTGTTCTAGTGTCCAGCCCCGATTCAGAAGCCCACCCAGAGTGGCCTCAGTACAAAAGACAGTGCTATCACCCAGGAAATTCCTAGGGACTTAGAAGCCCTGTGTTAGACATCAGGATCAAAGACCAAACTATAGAACCAAAGATGCACCCAATGCTCTTGTCACTTAGGGAATTACAAGAGTTTTAGCGCCTGGAACTGGAGGTAGAGACAAATATATATTTATTTTCTATTTTACACCTTTAAAATCAAATACTGGCCTTACATAATTAGATAATAGAGAGTAGGGTAAATTTTTTAACTTACTCCTTTAACATGTTCAAAGGTGACATTTTTCATCTGGACAGGATCTACTGCAGAATCAAGCCCCGTTGTTGTCCGGAAGCGGACTAAAGAAGAAAAAAAAGAAATGTTTATATATTTCATAGATTCATAAAATTCCAACCACCTTATTATTCAGAGGTAAGAAAGTAGAGAAAAAAAATAATATATTTAAGTATTACATACATACATTCATAGTGAAGTAACAGAAAGTACATCTTCTGGATTTCTAGACCATGTTCAAGGAATAAATGACTCACATTAAAATGACATCTTTATACCTTCCAATTAAAATGAAAAATTGGGGCGCCTGGGTGGCTCAGTTGGTTAAGCGACTGCCTTCGGCTCAGGTCATGATCCCGGAGTCCTGGGATCGAGTCCCGCATCGGGCTCCCTGCTCGGCAGGGAGCCTGCTTCTGCCTCTGACCCTCCCCCCTCTCATGTGCTCTCTCTCTCTCGTTCTCTCTGTCTCAAATAAATTAAAAAAAAAATCTTTAAAATGAAAAATTATTTCCCTCTTCTATAATATCTAACAAGAGAAATTTACACCAATCATTCTCAAACTCCACCGTGCCTAAAAATCACTTGGGAAATGTAGTAATGCAAGTTCCCAGGCCATGGCCCAGAATTTCTGGTTGGTAGATTTAGGAAAAGGCCCAGGAGTTTGCAGTTAAAGATTTTATTTCTTTATTTGACAGAGAGATTGAAAGTACAAGCAGGGGGAGTGGTAGGCAGAGAGAGGGAGAAGCAGACTCCCTGCTGAGCAGGGAGCCCGATGCAGGGCTCGATCCCAGGACCCTGGGATCATGACCTGAGCCGAAGGCAGACGCTTAACCAACTGAGCCACCCAGGTTGCCCCAGGAGTTTCCATTTTTAACAACCACTCTAAATTATCCTGATACAACTGGTCAGGGATGCACACCATGAAATACATTGCCTTAAACCTAGCATAAGAACTGGCACTGGCTTTTTTTTTTAAAAAAAGGGTAAACCTTAAAAGAGATTATTTCACTTTTCATGTAGCCTCCTCCTCTAGCAACTGTTATTACTTGCCCTCAGATGATATATGTCAGTAATGACATCATTAAGAAAGTGAAAGTTTGGGGGCGCCTGGGTGGCTCAGTTGGTTAAGCGACTGCCTTCGGCTTAGGTCATGATCCTGGAGTCCCTGGATCGAGTCCCGCATCGAGTCCCGCATCGAGTCCCGCATCGGGCTCCCTGCTCGGCAGGGAGCCTGCTTCTGCCTCTGACCCTCCCCCCTCTCATGTGCTCTCTCTCTCTCATTCTCTCTGTCTCAAATTAAAAAAAAAAAAAGTGAAAGTTTGGAAGGAGAGTAAAATACTTAGAATGAACTATAGAGAATTATTACAAAACTTTCTTAAAATCTCTCCCCTTTGGTTAAACTTCCCTACTAAAAAGATATAAGTGAGTAAATAGAGCAATTTCTAATTTCCTCAGAAGACAAAAAATATTGTCTTTAAGACAGAAATTTAGATGCAAAAAGAATCAACAGGCAAAATATACAGTTTTGTTGAAAACACTTAGCATATCAAGAATATACAAGTTAGGGGTGCCTTGGGTGGCTCAGTCGTTAAGCATCTGCCTTCGGGGCAGGTCAATATCCCAGGGTCCTGGGATTGAGCCCCGTGTCGGGCTCCCTGCTCGGTGGGAAGCCTGCTTCTCCCTCTCCCACTCCCCCTGATTGTGTTCCCTCTCTCGCCGTGTCTCCCTCTGTCAAATAAATAAATAAAATCTTAAAAAAAAAAAAGTTGGAAGAGCAAATGTAATATAGTAATTCTACAATGGACACTAATAGTTTTAGCCCACTAAATTGTTTATTCAAGGATCTACACAGATGGGCTTAATAAATAATGCAAATTAAATTTGTAGCCAAACCACTTGAAACTTATAAGAAATTATAAGGCAATGCACTTCATATTTTGATATATATTTTGCTTAATGTAAAAAATTAAGAAACATAAAATAATAACCACAGCTAATCCCACCCCTCCAATATCACACAGTGTCCCTACACTGGTTCTGTTTTGAAAATAAGTAGACAAAAGAAGATGACTCTAGCTATATAAAGAATATTCTGGGGCGCCTGGGTGGCTCAGTCAGTTAAGCGTCTGCCTTTGGCTCAGGTCATGATCTCAGGGTCCTGGGATCGAGTCCCACATGGGGAGCCTGCTTCTCCCTCTGCCTGCCGCTCCCCCTGCTTGTGCTCTCTCTGTCAAATAAATAAAATCTTTAAAAAAAATAAAAATAGAAAATAATATTCCTGGATGTTAAAATCTCATCTCAGGTTTTATTCCACAAAAAACTTAAAATACTGGGGTTACATGCAAGTTCTGGGATAAAGTCCTGATCCAGATCAACTGATATTCTTTAATTGTATACCAGTTTTTTTCTCTCAAGGTAATCAATCATAAAGACCATAGAGAACTCAGGGTAAAAACCGAAGAGCTGAGAATGCAACAGGAACCACTTAAAATGGACATTATTCATTTTAGACTGGCAAACTGAGAAAATATGAGACTCATTTAAGGCAATTTTTAATTGTATACTAAATTTGTATATATATATATTTTTAAGATTTTATTTGTTTATTTGAGAAGGGGAGAGAGAAAGCACACAAGTGGGAGGAGGGGCAAGGCAGAGGCAGAAGCAAACTCCCCACTGAGCAGGGAGCCCAATGCAGGGCTCGATCCCAGCATCCTGGAATCATGACCTGAGCCGAAGACGGACGCTTAACTGACTGAGCCACCCAGGCGCCCCAAATTTTTATGTATTTATATATTATACATAAATTTTCATAAATTTATTAGTGTGTCTTTGAAATAGGGGACTATTTCACTTTGTATTGCTATTATAAAATTCTTCTATAAAATTGGACAGGTATAACTTTCTAAAAGTCTAGAAAAAGAACCACTAATAGAAGCTAATCTAACATTTTTGCTATAACATAATCCTTGGAACTTTAACAAAATATTATTGTCTCAAAAATAAAACTTGAAATATGTACAGTGTCTGAAGGAACTTTTCCTGTAATCCACAAAGCAATGTAAATATAATGAGCCCTGAGAATGCAGATGGCATATGACCATAATAGATTAAAACTTTTCTACTTTAATGCAAAAAAGCAATCTCAAATTGACCCAATCTGTGAAGTGCTGACTTAGGAAAGAAAGGCCTAGACACTAGAACGGTAAATGCTTCCTCTCTCCTAAGTCTAAGGCAGACTAACTATGAAAAAAAAAATTGAGTATTTAAAAGATACAAAAAAAAAGTCAGACAAATGAAAAGAGCCTTTACCAGATAAAAATGGGTTTTTTAAGAGTCCATAAATGCCAAATAGCAGCAGAACGAAGAGAATCAGACGAGTTCGTCTCAGAGAATCTGGAGGAGAAAAAAAAAACCTTAAATCAAATGACAACAATGACAAGTGACAGCTTGATGAAAAGTAAGCAGTAGGTTATTGATAGTAATCATATTCTATCACATGCAATTTTGGAACCTGGCATTCCTTTGTATAATTGCCATGATTTCCTTTCAGCACCCTGTGACCAAAAACCTCATCGAGGCACTCATGCTTCTGTCCTTGACGTTGCTTCTCATTTGAGAAAAGGGAGAGTGCCAATAGATTTTCCATTTTGACACAGCTTAAGTTACAAATATAATGGAATATAACCAATGAAAAGGTGCATACTTGTTAGAAAAAATATTTGTAATCACTTAAAGGTAGGACTATGACTTCCTTTTAGATATTCTTCCCAAATATGGATGGTGTCAAATCAACTTACCATTGGTTTTTTGCGTTAGTGCTTGAGCTTTCAGAAAACCCTCTGCAAAACCAGTTTTAAATGCATCTTGGTGAGCTTCAGGTATATTTTTGGTTTTCATGAGTTTGTCCAAACTCTCAACATCTGATCCTCTGTCCCGCAAAAGGAACCCCTAAATACACAAACAATGCATCAGTACTGACTATATAGATAACACTGCCCAACAATATAATGATCACTCACAAAAAAATTCATTCAAAAACTCTAGAATTTCTAATTTTTATTGTCCATCAGAAGAATTACACTAAGATTCAACAATAAATTACTTAATCAATAGCTAAGAAACTAACTTTGGACTTTACACTTGCATCAATCAATTAATATAAAGGAACTCTCTGTAAGAATACTATACTGAAAACAATAGGTCACCTGTGGACTTTAGGGTTCTAATGGTTTGATGTTCACACTCCTTTATCTCTACTAGACAAAAAACCTCATTAAGTTATTAAATGTTTACTGAGTACCTTTTATATACTTGGCCTTGTGTAAGTTCTGAAAATGTAAAGATAAATAACCAATGATCTGAATGTTCTCAGTCTACTAGGGAGAGATACACAAATAACTAATTTTTTGAAATCATTTTGATATTATGTTAGAAGTTCTAGATCTGGAGACACCTGGGTGGCTCAGTCGGTTAAGCATCCGACTCTTGCTTTCGGCTCAGGTCATGATCTCAGTCATGGGATCAAGCCCAACATTGGGCTCTGAACTCAGCAAGGAGTCTGCTGAAGATTTTTTCCCCTTTCTTCCCCGCCCCCACCCTGCTCCTCTCCCGCTCGCATGCATTCTCTCTCAAATCAATCAATAAATAAAGTCTTAAAAAAAAAAAAGAGGTTCTAGGTCTGGTGGTAAGATAAATGCTACCTCAGGAAGCTAGGAAAGGCATTACAGAGAAATAGGATTTCTAAACCAAAGGAAATGCAAAGCATAAACAATCTGACATAGCCATGAAGTAAAAGGCTTTAGCACTCAGGAACTGCAAGCTATCTTTTATGACACGACTTTAAAATGCCAAGAGACAAGTAGAGTAGAGGTTCAGAAGGAGTGCCATATTAAAGATAAGAACAGAAAAATGATAGGCAGAGGCCAAATGGATACTACAGCAGGAATCTGACAATAAATCAGAGGAATATATTACATTAAAACATTTTAGACAGATGGTGGGTTGGTGGCAGTCTGAAAGCTGGACTGAAGGTAACAAAACTAAAGGCAAGGAGACTAAGGGGTGCCTGGGTGGCTCAGTAAGTTAAGCATCCGACTCGACTTCCACTCAGGTCATGATCTCAGAGTCGTGAGATCAAGCCTCATGTCAGGCTCCATGCTTGGTCGGGCTCCACGCTCAGTACAGAGTCTGCCTGAGATTCTCTCTCTCCCTCTCCTTGCCCCTCCCAACATCCATCCCTGTGCGCTCTCCCTCTCTAATAAATTCTTTAAAAAAAATAAAGGCAAGGAGACTAAATGAATGTTTACTAGAGTCCTTTAGGCAAGAAATGGTTATACTCCATCTATGCAGTGGAACTGGGAATGAAAAGAGACAGATCTAAGAAATATTTAAGAGGCTGGATCAATAGGACTTTAGTGATTAATGGATGTGATGATTAATGGATGTGACAGGAGAGAAAAGATGAACAAATCAAAGTTGATCAACAGGTTTCTAGCTTGGGTGGATGCTATTCTAGAGAACACACAGGTAGATGTGTAGGGGAAAAAAACAAAAGGAGATGTCTAATAGGCCAAAGGAGAGACATGACTGGGGCACTCAGAAGAGTTGTAGGTGTAATGATTACACAGGTAATTAATCCTTTAGAAAATCAACTGACCAATAAAAGAAATCAGATATTGAATGTTCTCATTTTAATAATTTGAAAATTACTGCTTTTTCAAACAACAAAAAATGTCTAATTACCTTTACAAATGATGGTGTTATATGCTGTGTCTCTGTCAATCTTTCAGAGGTGGACTGTAAACGTCAAGTTCTTGATTTCAAAGTTTTAAAACCCCGAGACTATATGAAAACTGAACGGAACAGATTCACATTTACTTCTCGTTGCACATTTTTATAAGAAAAATGACTAGGGGGGCGCCTGGGTGGCTCAGTTGGTTAAGCTACTGCCTTCGGCTCAGGTCATGATCCTGGAGTCCCGGGATCGAGTCCCGCGTCGGGCTCCCCGCTCAGCAGGGAGTCTGCTTCTCCCTCTGACCCTCCCCCTCTCATGCTCTCTGTCTCCCATTCTCTCTCTCAGATAAATAAATAAAACCTTAAAAAAAAAAAAAAAAGAAAGAAAAATGACTAGGATTCAAAACTGACACCAAGCCCATACAACCTAAGTTTATTATCCCATTTTTTAACATAGTCCTTTGCCTGACATTTCACTACCCTGGTAATTAAAGTCATTAAAATGGATTGAATCTATAAAATAACTGTATAGTCTCTTGGTAATTTTAAAATGTGAAAAAAAAAAACCAAACAAACCCACTGATGAGTATCAAATAAAAGTCAGTGTCTAATTCCTCAAGCCCCAATCCCACTTCCCCAGAAGTGACCACTGTTAACAATTTCACGACTGGGATGCCTGGGTGGCTCAGTCAGTTAAGTGTCCGACCCTTGATTTCAGCTCAAGTCTTGTTCTCAGGGTTGTGAGTTCAAGCCCGCACTGGGCTGCACACTGGGCATGGAGCCTACTTTAAAAAAAATTTTAAATGAAAGAATAAAAGTTTTGAAGAATGCCTGGGTGGCTCAGTCAGTTAAACGTCTGCCTTCGGTTCAGGTCATGATCCCAGGATCCTGGGATCAAGTCCCACACCGGGCTCCCTGCTCAGCAGGGAGTCTGCTTCTTCCTCTGCCTGCAGCTTCCCAAGTTTGTACTCTCTCTCTGACAAATAAATAAAATCTTTAAAAAAAAAAAAGGTTTAAAGAATAAAAGCTAAGGGATGCCTGGGCAGCTCAGTTGATTAAGCGTCTGCCTTCGGCTCAGGTCATGATCCCAGGGTCTTGGGATCGAGTCCCGCATCGGGCTCCTTGCTCGGTGGGGAGCCTGCTTCTCCCTCTGCCTGCCGCTCCCCGCTTGTGCTCATTCTCTCTCTGACAAATAAATAAATAAAATCTTGAAAAAAAAATAATAAAATAAAGAATTAAAGCTTTGAAAAACAATTTCATGACTACACTTCTATGTATTTAAACATATGCTCTTTCTATAAAAATAGTATATAATTTTTTGCAATTATCTTCTTGCACTTAACAAGAAATATTATCACGGATATTTTTCAGAACAGGTCAGATAGTACATTCAATTTAATGGCTGTTAATATTTTTCCAATTTATCAGTGTATAGCAGTTTGAACATTCAACCACTTTTCTACTATGGACATTAGTTGTTTCCTGTTTTCTTATTGCTAAAAATGGTTCAGTTAAAATTCTTTCAGCATGTGTAGACTAAATTCTTAAAAGTGAAACCATGAGGTTTGAATTATTTAACACTAAGAAACTGCCCTCTAAAAGGTTGTTATTGATTTATACACCCACTGATGAATAGGAGTATCCTTTACTCCACATCCTTTGCAACACAGATTAATATACATTTTTTTTTAATTGTTTAAGGATTTTATTTATTTGTCAGAGAGAGCACAAGCAGCGGGAACAACAGGCAGAGGGAGAAGCAGGCTCTCCGTTGAACAGGCAGCGCGATGCGGGACTCGATCCCAGGACCCTGGGATCATGACCTGAGCTGAAGGCAGCCGCTTAACTGACTGAGCCACCCAGGCGTCCCTATAAATTTTAATTTGTACAGATCTGATAGGCAAAAAGCAGTGTCTTGTTTTAATTTGCATTTCAGATTAGAAATGAGGGAAAATTTTGAAAAACACTTTTACTTTCCTTGAATATTTTCTTTAGTAAATTGTTAATCACTCATAACCTTTCCCATTTTCATGAATAAAAGGATGCGTGCTATGTATACTAACTTTAAGGCACATATATTTGAAACATTTAATGTCTTGTCTTTGTATGCAGCAATTTATAAAGTTAATATAGTTTTATCTTTTAATCTTTAGTATTTTCTGCATTGTGTTTTGATTAGAGAGCCTCACCCCCAAACTGTGATTTTAAGAGTCTACTGGGGCACCTGGGTGGCTCAGTCAGTCGAGTGTCCAACTCTTGGTTTCGGCTCAGGTCCTGTTCTCGGGGTCATGGGATCGTCAGACTCCACATTGGGCATGGAGTCAGCTTGGGATTCTACCTCTCCCTTTCCCTCTGCCCCTCCTCTCCCTCTCTTCCTCTCCAAATAAGTAAATCTTTAAAAAAAAAAAAAAAAAAGGAGTCTACTGACTTTCAACTTCGTTCAGACCTTTACCTATTTGCAACTTTTTTTTTTAAAGATTTTATTTATTTATTTGACAGAGAGATACATAGTGAGAGAGGGAACACAAGCAAGGGGAGTGGGAGAGGGAGAAGCAGGCTCCCCACAGAGCAGGGAGCCGGATGTGGGACTCGATCCCAGGACCCTGGGATCATGACCTGAGCTGAAGGCAGCCGCTTAACTGACTGAGCCACCCAGGCATCCCTATAAATTTTTTTAATTTGTACAGATCTGATAGGCAAAAAGCAGTGTCTTGTTTTAATTTGCATTTCAGATTAGAAATGAGGGAAAACTTTGAAAAACACTTTTACTTTCCTTGAATATTTTCTTTAGTAAATTGTTAATCACTCATAACCTTTCCCATTTTCCCCCACTTTCTGACAGCATCCGATGTGGGACAAACCCTACTTCCTTAGGCCCTCCCCCAAATCACCCAACCAGGTTCTTCCAACTCAGTTCTACACTCTGTCACTGAGACACCCCACAATTCCAAATGGTATGTTCTCCTCACTGCGATGAGTAATAAACCAACTTGTTCAATTCTAAGTGTGTTCTGGATGGTCTTTGGCTGGATAGAATTGACCCCCATAGCATGGACTAAATGTTTCAATTATTTTATGTTTACTTTTTTCCCCTCTCTCCTCAAATAGAATATAGATTTCCAGAAGACAGAGACCAAGTCTATCCTGTCCCCTATTATATTCAAAATACCTGGTCTTTATCTGGAATATAGTTCAATATTTGCTGAATAAATGAATGAATACGGGAGAAATTGGGATTCGATTCATATTCCTTGGATTCTTCACATCTTTCCTATACGGCAAGGAAACCAGCACTTAGGTAGTAATCAGCCTCTTGTTAGGAACTACTAACATACACGGGAAAATGGACATGAAAACACTTTGTAAACTGTACTCACTCTTATCATAACATTCAACTTAGTGGTAATAAAAATTTTCCTTCAGAGTTTGGATTTCAGTGAATCCCAACAACTGCTGTGAAGATGTTTGCTTATGTCCCCCGCCCATAGTCTCTTTCTTTCTAATGTTTCATTGGTTTTCTCTCTGATTACAAAAGCAACAGTTTATTTTGGTATTTGGAACTTGGTATTTGGAAATGTTAAAGAATACAGACAAACGTAAAGAAGAAAATAAAACCATGTCTTGTTCTTAAAGCAGGCTCCTTTTCCCCAGGTTCAAGTTGATGTCACCTCATGGTTTGCAGGAGACTCAATGTTTAAATATTTAGAGCTTGAAAGAGCAATGAAAATTATGTTGTATTAAGTGGTGAAGAAAGGTACTTGGAAGGTATTCATGAGAGGACTCAGGAAGGCCAGAATACTGCTCTGCTAAAGAACCAGTCACCTTTTCTGCCTCTTAGGCCTGCGCATCCCACCTTGAAAAATGCCACAGAAAACAATTTCTCTTTATTACTTGTGCCTGAGCTTCTGAGAGCCTGGGTGAAAGGTGATTTGAGTTTGCTGTGAGGATAGAGCAGTGGGATAGAGAGGGGTAGAGAGCCAGAGGGGACAGGAATGGAGGTGGAGGGGTGGAGGGGAATGGGGGGTGCTTCCTGTCTCTCTGACTCTAGTCCAAGTCTTGAGCTCTTACCACTCTGTGGATGGCTTTACAATTCAAGACCTCATAGCCAGGACCAGCAGGCTCAGAAATATATACATAGTTCTACCCCAGGATTTTTACCATCACCACCAAAAACACCTTTTCCACCCTTGGTTATTCCCTTTATTATCTTCTCCAATAGACTGCCAACCTTTGAATGAATTTCTCTGGCCCAATGCATGTATCGGGGGAGCACTGGTTTCAGTAGTGTATCTCTTTTTTTTCCTTGCAAAATCGAGCCACATATTTATCAGATAAAAATCATCACAAATTTTAAAACATGAAGATGGCACACATCAGTGCTGTGATTCTGATGCTGATAAACAGAAATGTTAGTTGACAGCCAACAAGCAATAATGTAAGTAACATCCCGACACTTTAGCGCTCTTCATGGCTATTATTGCTCACTAAAATTTATTTATGCATGACATTAATTATGTGTTAGATTGATAAAACTGGGGTTGTTAAAAAAAATCTCTAGCATGTCGAAACACTCTGGTAACTGTCTGCTCCATTTAATAAATCCCTGGAATCTCTATGATGTCATCAGCAGCCAATCAGAGCTTTTGTTGGCATGTAGTCACCTCACTAGATAACTGTTTACTTCCTGCCATGTGCCAGGCATGTTCTGAGCACTGTCCCAAGAAAGATGAAAGAAACAGGCCGTTTCTGAAGAACTCAGTGAATTACCATTGATATAGTCCAATAAAAAATAGAGACATTGATATTTAACTGGCTTGTGCAACTTTACGGAATTATGATTTTACTCATCTTTTAAGAATACTAAAAGTAGCTCTAATTCCTTATTATTATATTCCTGGACTCCTGGTGGAAACCACCAGTTATGTCATAAATTTCAGCAAATATCACCAATGTCCCAAGAGATCAGAATCTCTATTCCCAGTTTTATTATGACTTGCCTGTGGTTTTAAAAATGTCTTAAATATGTAAGGGTATTAGTAATCAGTTCTAAAATGAGGAAAAACATAACAAACTAGTTTGAAGTTGGGAAACATCTGAATTAAGTGATACTGCATGTACACCTGAAGTGAGGCA